TGTCCCCCTTGAGCTCTCGGGTCTTGGGGCCCTCGTGGAGCCCGCCTGGGGGCCCCTTTGGGTCATCTTGGAGGCCATCGATCAGCAGGGGCGGGTCCCCCGCCGGGGCCATCAACATCGCCCCTTGGGGGACGCCCTTTGGCCGATCCTGGGCGCTCCTGGGGCAGTTTGGGAGGCATCTTGGGTCTGAGGCCATCCTGGGACAGGCTTGAGGCCCCGAGAGCGCACCAGACGCGACAAGGCGAGAAGGCAAACATCATTGATTGCGAAGGCCTGACAGCCGGTGCCGCCGACCCTGAAGGGAGACGACGACGACGACGACGACGACGACGACGACGACGACGACGACGACGACGACGACGACAATGGCGGCGGCGGCAACGACGACGACGCTGACGTGGGCCAGAGTCCTCAGGCATGCTACTTAGGGTCTTTTGGAAGTCTCTCGGGCGCCTCTGGGGAGGAATTTTGGTGCCTCTTGGGAGCCTCTGGGGGGCCTCTTGGGAGCCTCTTGGGGGCCTCTTCCCGCTTCCTGGGGACCTCTTGTGGGCCTCTTGGGGCCTCTTGGGAACCTCTTGGGGCCTCCTGAGAGCCTCTTGGGGCTGAGGGCTCGAAATGTCCGTTCGGAGACCCTGTCTGGGCACGCTCTTGGAGCCGTCTTGGGGGCCTCTTGGGCCGTCTTGGAGGCGTTTTGGGTTGTCTTGGGGCCCTCTTGGGCTGTTTTGGGGGCCTCTTGGAGGCCTCTTGGGGCGATCTTGGAGGCCTCTTGCGCCGTCTTGGAGCGGCGGGAGGTGGAAAAGTCAAAAACCAACAGAAAATCAATGAATTTGGTCTCTTGGGGACCTCTCGGGAGTGCTCTTGGAGGCGTGTTGGGGCGTCCTGAAGGCCTCCTGGGCAGTCTGGAGGGCGTGAAGGCGTTTTGGACTGATCGTTTGGCAATTGGGGGCCCTCTTGGACCGTGTCGGGGGCCTCTTCGGGCACTCTTGGCCTGTGGCCCGGGGGCCCCAAGGGGGGGATGGGTATCTGACCCCCCCCCCTCCGGGACCGACCCCCCCCCCAGGACCCCCCTCCCAGGACCCCCCCACCGGGACCCCCCCACCGACGGGAGAGGGATCTAAGGGAAGTCGATTACGACATTGGTAGATTTTTTCTCTCGCTGACAAGCTTGAGGAGGAGTGTGCAGGGAAAGGGAACGACGGAGACGACGATTACGGCCCGCCAAGAAAAACCTCAGGGAGGGGAGGGGGATGGTACCCCTCCCCGAAGGAAAGAGGGTTGTTGAAATGAGGAAGTGAAGATATCGTTTGACTACCTTAGCCCTTAACCCAACGGTCTGCTTAGACCTCCAGGACCAAATGTGCAAGCTTCGGCTTCGTTGTTCCCGTACTTGGTGGCACTGGATTCAACAGACCGTTGATAAACACAGTTGTATGGCTGATGCAATTCGATGTGTCTCTGATGTGTTCTGCGAGGTACATGGCCCTTGGCCCACAGTGGCGTGAGTCCTGGGACAGCTTGAAGACTGCAGCGAAACGAATGCCGTGTGTTTGTGCCAAGAACCATTTGAAGTTCATCCTGCCAATGCCACGATGCACCCTAATGATGACTGTCAGCTTGCAACAGCGCGCGGACAAGTGCCAATCACATGACCTGTCCAAAAGGTTTTATGCACATATCTGCAAGGGGATGTAAGATTTGATTTCAATCGTTCTGCGGGCCGGTGTCGATGTGTGATGTACTGGATCCTTGTGGGAGGGGCAGCTCACCAGCATCTGCACCAACTCGCCGTCCGTTGTCGGCGCCTGCTGGCGTCACCAGAGCTCTGATGCGATGGATCCGATGTTGGCTTCAGAGGGGGTAACCACAGTTGGATGCTTGAAGCTTCCGTTTCTGGGCAGAGAGACCCAGGTCGAGATGGGTTGACATTACATTTTCTTTTGCAGTGCAGTAGTGTGTTGCGAAAAGACACGTGGAGCTGAGGCTCCGCCGCACGCCCCGCTTCGGGACGGCCTCCGGGCCGGCACGCGCGAGAGTGAGTCAGTGAAGCTGCCGTTCCTGCCTCGCAGCGTCAACTGCACAGAGGGAAGCAGGCCTGGCCCACCAGGCCAGCCTCGTTCTGGGGCGGCGCAGCGGCCTCTGTGGTCGGGGCCACGCTGTGCACGCTCCGTCCCTCGGCCAGGATGGCCATGGCTATGGGTGGTGGTGGTGGTGGCTTCCGGCTGCCGTTGCTGAATCAACGAAGGCACGTTCTTTTGGCCGTGGCCAGGAATGGTGGCGGTGTATGACTGCCGCCTCCCAAATCAATAAGTCACGTTGACTGTGCACCGCAATTCGGCGCGTGCGCTGGCTCGGGCTCGGCCTCTGGCTGCGTCGCAGAGGCCTCCTGCGCGGCGTGTGTCTGGCGGCCCCTGGCGGCACAGCGAACGCGCTGCGTTAGGAGTTTGGACCGCAGTTCGGGGCAGGCAGATGACCATGAAACTATGTTGGCAACCGCCATGGCGCAAAGCACAGAGGACACTATTCGGGGTAGGTTTGCGAGCGTGCTCATCAAACTGTGTACACCGTGCTTCGGGTGAAGGATTGCGTATCTTGGTGTATACTTGAATATATACATACATGTGTGTGTGTTGATGTGTGCGGCTCCTCGCCGAGGCCCTGACGCTCGATTGGCGCACTGTCCTCTTTCGCGGGCTACTGCCGCACTGGAATCCAGCCGGCTGGCCTCAACTGGGGCTTCCACGGGGGGCGCGCCTCGGGGGGGCGACCTCGAGGACTGCAGAAAAAGGGCCCCTTCGGGGCCCCCACAGGGTCCCCTTCAGGGCCCCAAAGGGGGCCTCTGGGGTCCGACAAGGGCACCCTACTCCCTCCCCCATTAATTCGCGCCCAACTTCCGTCTGAGTAGGGCGAAGAGGAGGGCAAGGAGGAGTCCAGGAGGGGGAGGCAGGGCGTGGAGGATGAGGAGAAGGATCGAGGAAGCGCAAACATGCGTGAAGCCTCGTGGATGAGCGACGGGTCCCGTTTCCCAGTCGCCCAATCGGGCCCCCCGATCCGTTGATCTGACGTCTTCGCACAAGATCCACGGATCTGTACCCCATTCTATCTTGTGCCCGAAAGGAGGGGCGGGAGGATCGGGCCTGCGTGCAGCCGGTTTCGGCCCCGCCGCGGGCGCCCTCGTCGATGCATGAAAGTTTGTGGCGCCGGGGGGCGCTAGGAAAATCACTTACGTGAGCTGATTCGTCAACTTCCCTGTCCTTGGCATCCCTCGGACGTGTGCACTTGGTTTCGGCGAGGACAACCGAGGAGCATCCTGGATCATCTTGCGAGAAAAAAACACGCGCGAAACCGAAGGATTCACGGGGGATGGACGTCGGAGCGTAGCGAGGTTCCCGACCGCCTCTCTCCTGGCCCGATCCGAGAATAAAAAGGCCTCCCCTCCCCTTCCGTCGCTTGCCGCATTGAGATGGTGTCGTCGTTGCCGTCGTCCGTCTGTGTGACCAGTATGGGGGGCACGTTTCGGAGGTGTGGCGCCTTCGCCACTCTGCCGGGAGGTACGACCACAGACAGACAAGCACACACACATATATATATATATATGTATATATATATATATATATATATTATACGTGCATGTACATGTATACATACATGTAACTTGAGCGTGTACAGATGTGCATGTACATACGGGGAGACACGATGTGTGAGGGAGGTGGTGGTTTACACATTCACGTACACATATACACATGCATGCATTTATACACATACGGATGTGAATAATAGCTTGTTACATACCAAGACGGAGAGGGTTATTGTAACACTATACCTGGATGGGCACACATCTCAGAGAGGGAGGGCGGGAGAGTCAGAGAGAGAGAGAGATAAACACGAACGAAATAAATGAACCATCAAAGCGAGTCACACATCAACCCAGGACGCGCTACAGTGGATTAAGGCTCGTGGATGAGCGACGGGTCTGGTTTCCGTAGACCATCGGGGCGCTCCGTCTCCAGATTAGGCGGCGTCGCCGTTATGTTTCGGAGGAGGAATATGCTACCGATACCTTTGCCTTTGCCTCATCGCCACAGTTGTATTCGCCTCACAACCCTGGTCAGAACGCACCCTGGGCGAGCTTCACAGAGCAGCGGTGACGGCATGTGTTTGTTTTGTTTCCCAACTATTATCCAAGTGTGTTTGAGCTAAGGGAGGATAGGGGACCTACGTATTACACGTGTACCCACATACTCGGTGGGGAGCAGAGACGGACACATACAATGATAGAGCTGCGAGCATAGGTAAGTCGAGATTTATAGATAGAAATACAAGAGGAGAGAGACGAGAGCGAGCACGACAGAGAGAGAGAGAGAGAGACACGAGAGCGAGCGCGACACGAGAGCGAGCGCGACAAGAGAGATGGAGACATATTGATATACAGAGAGAGATAGATCTAATGAGAGCGATACCTCTGCTTACACGAATATTAACGTGTGTTAAGGTGTACAGGCGTCGTATTTCTATGTATACACAGATGCTTACATCTTTGAAACATAGCGGGAGTGATAGAGGGGCAGAGATAGTGACAGAGCTCAACGAGAGAAGAAAAGAGAGAAGGATCAGGAGGATTCCGACATCGATGTTGACTGGATGGGGTGCGTAGGAGGAAGAGGGCGGGGGGGGGAAGGGAACGGAGATGAGGAAGACCACGGGTGCGCGGCGGGTGGGGGATGAAGACTCATAGCGAGGCTGGATCACTAGAGGGGGGGCAGTGTTGAGAAGAGCGAGGAAGGTTGGAGGACGCAGTAGGAGGGGGATGATGGGAGCGCAGAGACTGGAGGAGTAATTGAAGGAGAAGGAGGAGGTCGAGGAGGGGGGATTGTGGGGAAGCAGAACGAGAGGACGTGGAGGGGGGGATGTAGTGGGGGGGGGGCGTCAAGAGGGGGAAGAGCAGGAGGGAAATCGAGCCGTCCTGCGATCTGCTGGCCTCGTGCACAGAGCCCTATCCGCAGGTGAAAGAGGAGGTCAAGGCCGAGGTCAAAGAGGAGGGCAAGGACGAGGCGATGCCCGAGGAGGCCAAAGAAGGAGGGCCTGATGCAGACGCCGAGATGGAGGACTCTACCTGGTTCTGATTTATCCGCTCTGACGTGCCAGACTTCAGAGCTCATGGGAGTTGCATTGCCAACGCCACTCTCGTCGCGGTCAGGCCACCCTGGGCCCCAGGTATCTTCGTCTCTCTTCTCACCACCCCCTCGTCCTCGTCCTCCGCCAACGCCCCCTCCCCCTCCGAAGCCTTCTTGGCTCAAGCCGTTTGGCTCAGCTGCCCGTGCCTGGAGGCTGGGTGAGCAGCCCCTGGGATCCCGAGTCCGTTCGGCGTCCGAACCCGCTCGGCCGCCGACCTCGGCAGTCAGAGGCAGCGTCTGGGGAGGGGTGGAGATCAGGGGCGGATGCATCGGCCCCTGCTCCCCCACCGATGGCTGATGGGGACCCGGCAAGCCCACCCCGCCCAGGACAGTTCGGATTCGTTATGGGGGGCGTTTCGCCAGCCTAGCGGCGATGTATCGCCGAGTCCAGGTCGCCCGGCATCGCTCGGACGTGTTCACTTTTTGTTCAGCGAGGCCAGCGCCAGGAATCTAGACTATCTTGAACATCTTGGAGCATCTTGAGAACAACAATGCGCACCAATGCTAACAACGCATGGGGAATGGATGTCTGAGCGATGGCAAGGTCGATGTTCCCCCCCCGGAGTCAGTTCCCCCCCCTGCCGTTTCCCCCCAAGCTGGCTCGGCCGCTGAGCTGGCTCGATGCCGTGCCCGCTCGGCGGCCGAGCGGGCGCCCAGACGCAGAGCGGACTCAGCAGAGGCCCCCTTGTAGGAGGGCCGCGCCTCTCGCGCAAAGTTGCGGCCGTGGACAAATCCCGCTTCGCACTCTGCGCAGATGTCGGCCCCTCTGCGCGGGGGCGGGCCCTCAGGCAGGGCCGCCCATGATCCGACTCGATGCGATCCGATTCGTCGGCGGGGGCCGCGTTTCCGATCCGATTCGATGCGGTTCGATTACCCGGCAATGGCCGGGACCAGCCGGAGCCAGGCGCGGCGATGCCATCTCGATCGGATCCGGGACGTTCAGCGGGCGATCCGGTTCGTGTCCAATCCGATCCGCGTTCCAGGTCCCAGACGTGCGATGTTTTGATGTTTTTCAATGCGAGGGCCCTGGAAGTTCCGACCCTTGCCCCAGAACATATTTTTCACCCCGGGCAGTTTTGGTTGATGGTTAGGGGGCCCGGCAAGGGCCCCCTGAGACTCAGGCAAGTTTCTATGCATGGCATTTGTCCCCCAGCCGCCCACCCGCCCCTCCGCCGCCTGGGCCGAAACGGCGTGCAAGGTAGTCCCGATTTGCGTGAAGTCTAGATTTGCTTTCGGGACGCGCCCCCCAAACCCTCCACCACGCAAGCAAGTTTGCTATGCAGGTGCGCTGGCCGGAGTCGAACTCGGAATCTGAAGTCAACTCGCCGGAATCACCTTTCGTGTTCACGACGCGAACACGTCTGGGACCGGATCCGGCCCAGGCTTGCCAGGGTGGCGTGCCCCGCGCGAGGGCGACCTGGCGCGCGGGCGCCCGCGGGACTGGTGCGACAGCGGCTCCTGTGGGCCTCCGGGCAATGCCAAGGGGGGAGCCACCACTCTCGGGGGCGGCAAAGAGGGGGGTGATGACTAGGGGGGGGTGGATATCATGGCGTGGGTCATGATAATTCCCCAGATCTCATGGCGCCTCTTCTTGTTTCATTACGTCCCTGGCCCCCCCGCTGGGCCGCGCACATGCCACCGGTCATGATTTGCACCCCCCCCTCTTGGACACCCCCCTCTTGGCCGCTCCCGACACTCGGGGGGGTCACGGGCTCCTCCTGGAATCGGCGGTCGACGTTCGGTCCGTGCCCTGCTGCCCCCCGCCCTGGGCGCCAGGTGCAACAAGGGTATGATGGGCTTGTTTTCCACCACCACCACCAGAAGTTGAGGGGGAGGGGGTCTTCCTCCTCCTCCTCCTCCTCCTCCTCCTCCTCCTCCTCCTCCTCCTCCTCCTCATCTGTTGCCATTTTGGCTCAAGGTGGGGACAGGCCCCATTTGAGTTGAGGCAGCCTCTCTTGCGAGGCCATCCTGGTTCAGACCCAGGCGGACACCCATCTTTCCAGCTGTCGAACTCACGCCCGAGCAGGCAGCCGTTTCGTGCTGTTTCTCACATTTTTTCCGAGGCATGTCTCTCGCGGGTTACGCTCTCACACGATTCGGACAATTGCTAGACTCGAGGTTTTCCCCGATGACGGCCAGACTCGACGGTTTCGTCAACTAGATCAAATCCCTCGACCTGGTGCTCGACGACTGCATCGCCGAGTCGCCGAGATGCGACTTGAGCAGGGCAGTATGCAGGAAGCCATCAACGTCCTGCAGGCGCAGGCGGTGAGCGCTTCTCCTCTCGCTGCCGCTCCCCCTGGCGGCGAAGATAAATCACCTGGAGACGCCTGGTCACGGGCATCGTCGCCCCTCGTCACGGCTGCGCAGCTCGAGGCCCGTCTGATCACGATGGAGAATACCCTCACCGAAGCTGTCACGGCCAAGGTCTCGGCCGCCCCTTTCTCTGCGGGTTCCGATCCATGGAGTGCGTTCCTCAGGTGCTAATCGTTCTCACGTCCGATCCAAAGTTCGTGTTCGGCAGTGCGCTGTTCCTCCCAATCTGTCTCCGTCGGGCTCATGCGGCGAGGCGGGAGATCGGTGCAAGATTTGGATCAGGGGCTTCCCCCGCAAGCTCCTGTCGAGGGTCTTCCTGCTCCACTTCGCCCTGTCGAAGACAGCTGCAGGGGCTCTCTTGGATAACGCGACTGCCCAGTGTCAAAGCTGCAAGTATTGTTATATTCGCCGGCCCAACGGGCCAGGGCGTGCTAAGATCTCCGGTACCTGGTTAACAGTATTTCTAGTTCGCGCGCGCGGGGCGGCCCTTGGGGGTCCCCGGACGAAAAGTACCCCGGCAAGGTCCCGGCAAGTCCCCGGCAAGGTCGGGCCAGAAATGCCGGAGTTCTGTTACAGGGCCCCAGGACGGGCCAAGAGGTCCCCAAGAAGCCTCCAAGAGGGCCCCGAGACGGCCAAAGATCGCCCGAAGACGCCCAACAGGGCCCCAAGACAGCCCAAGAGGCCTCCAAGACGCCCCAAGGGCCTTCCAAGAGGCCTCCCAAGAGGGCCCCAAGAGGCCAAAATCGTTGATTTTCATTTTTTTTTGTTTTTTATGTTTTTTGGGTTCTGGCTTTTTCGGCTTCCGGACGCTCCAAGACGGCCCAAGAGGCCCCCAAGACCGCTCCAAGACGGCCCACGAGGCTCCCAAGACGGCCCCGGAACGGCCCAGGAGGGCCCCCAAGACGGCCCAAGTGCCGCCCAAGACGGACCAAGAGGCCCCAAGACGGGCCCAAGAGGGGCTGAAGAGGGGAACCGAGAACTGAAAAATCGAGCCCTCCGCCCCAGAAGGCGCCCAGGAGGCCCCAAAAAGGCCCCAAGAGGCCCCCAAGAGGCCCCCAAGACGCCCCAAGAGGCGCCCAAGATGCCCAAAAGAGGCCCCAAGAGACCCCAAAACGGCACCCAAGAGGCCCCAAAACTCGGCTAGCCCACAACGGTGCGACAATATGGGCCGGCGGAATGAGCGAAGCGATTAATAAGATCATGTTCGGGCTTTCTTCTCGTGGGGAAAAGAGTCGAGCTCTTCGCCCTCCCCCTCGTGGTGGGATCCGAAGAATCTTGAAGACATTGCTTTCAGGTGTGGGTTTGACAAGCCTCTGCATGTTCGACACAAGAGTTTCGCCTTCGGCAAATGTTGGGAAGAAAGGAGAAAGCGGTTTATTGAGAATGGCGCCTGGAAGGACACGTACACCGTCGGCTCCTATCCACACGGGGTAGTTGCATCTCGAGGAGATCTATGATTTGGTGAGGCTGAGCCCTGGCTCTGACCGTGGAGGATGGAAGGACGCGTTTTCGGTTGCTGTCCTGGACGACGCGAAGTCCGTCAACATCTCTGAGGCGTTGCTGAACTCGCCCCCCGCGCTTATCCAGAGCCGTCTCGTCAAGAAGGCCGCTTAACGGTCTCCCATTGCTCCACGGGCAAGTTCGAGTTTCTCTTGCACCTCTCCCTCGATATGCGGTTCTAGGTGCCCTGCGGGCTCCTCATCTTCGTCGGCCTCCAGTTCTTCTTCCTCCACCTCGTCGGACCCTGAGGGCAGTTCTGAGGCAGGGGTGAATCCAGGTGTCGGGCAAACGCCTGGCATTCCGCGCCCTGTGCCGTTTCTCGCTGTCTCCTGCTTCTTTCCCCACCTCATCCTTGCATGTTGCCTGTGCCTTAGTTGTTCTTAAAAACGCTGGGGGCGTTTTTTTCCGTTTTCAACTTCTGGCGTTGCGGTCGACCAAAACAGAACAAAAACGGTAACGCAAAACGTGCCCAAAACGATGTGGCCAGGACCAAAACGTAACAAAAACGGCGGGCGAAAACGCACACAAAACGGAGAACCAAAGCAGAAAAGAAACAACGGCACGGGCTTTGAGAGGTTCGCAAACACGGCGACGAAAACGTACAGAAAACGGCAGGTGAAAACGATTAAAAAACGGATCGCACAACGAACCGAAAACGGCAAGGCGCAAATCCAACACAGGAAAAAAACTGCTCCCAAAGCAGGAAAAAAACGTCGATCTCCAAAACGGAAAAAAACGTCCCCAGCGTTTTTAAGATCATTTAAGGCCTGTGCCCGTTTATCATCTGGGTCTCTCTGCTTCTCTTGTGTGCGTGTTGGAGCACAGCTGCTCTCTTTGGAGTGCGTGGAGTAATCGCACCCGTCGGTGCAAGAAACACGTTTGTTTTGCAGCTCTTCTCAAAGAAGCAGGCAATTATCTTGCAAGAGACTGACGGATCGTTGACTGGCCTCACCACTTTAGATTGAGAGTTTTTGGCTCTGTCATGTAGGTCCTGTGCCCTCTCAGTGTTTTTTTCTCGTCCCCTCTTTGGCACTGCCTATCTCCGGACCGTGTGTAACGCGTGGCCGACCACGCGGAGATTTTGACATTGGACGGACAGCTGCCGCTTCGGCTGCTACAGGGTTGGCGGCGATCAGGAGGACCACTTCTTTTCTTGCCCCCCGTTGCTGCCCTTTCTTCCTCCTGTCGCCCGCTCCTTTCCTGCGTGTTCGCCCCCTCTCTCGCCTCTGCTTTTGTTTTTTCTCCGGTTCCACGCTTGACCCCAGAGGAGTTCACTCTTCACTATTAATTCACGGTTTTATATATTCGATTTACAATTTCCTTCGTGCCCGCAATAAGGTCGGCCCTGGGGGTTGCGAAAGTTAATACAAGCTCGAGCTTGAGGTCATGTCAGACGTCACCCAAGACTGAGGGGTCTGCTGACTCGCTTTTGGGCCCGCGGGACGAGAGACACATCGGAAGTGGGCGCTCCTCCTCCTCCTCCTCCTCCTCCTCCTCCTCCTCCTCCTCCTCCTCCTCCTCGTCTTCCTCCCCCTTCAACTTATGGTGGTGGTGGTGGTGGTGGTGGAAAACAGGCCTATCAAGGGTATGGAGAAAGAGGCGCTGCCCAGCCATATCCCCGCTCTGGCCCTTCGTGGGGGTCGGGACGTGAGAAGGGGCATGGATGAGATGTCGAGCGCGAAGTTTTTGGATCGGCGTCGGGCCCCCCTGGCGGCGCTTCCGGCGCCGATCCGAGAGCCCGAGCGGACCTCATATAATTTATGGTTTATGCATGTGGCTGCTGTTCTGGAGGAGGTGTTTGGGGACTGTCAGGGGTAGTTTTGGGAGGCTCCTTGGGTGTTTCGGGGGGGCCCACCTCGAGCAGATTTCGTTTGCTCAAGGACGTGGCGGCCCACCCAGTTGTGACCCCACTGGAGTGACGCAGAAAACAAATTTGCGCCGACATTCGCGCGTACAGTATGTTCGTGTCGTGTCGACTGGCGGCGGAGCAGAATCGGTCGATTTTGAGAGATCCGACGTTGTGGAAAAATCCAATCGCTCAAGGTTGAACGATTCCCCCGGTGTCAGGAACCATCGCCCGGGTCGTCACGACACGAACCTGCCGTAAACTGCCCGCGTAAGGTCGCGTGTAAGCACCTTCGCTTCCAATGCAGTGTGCCGCGCTGGCTGCCTGCCGAGGCTTCGACGTAAGGTCGTTGTGTCATCTCGCGCAAGGCCGGTTTCTGATCGTCGCTCACTTGGGCATCGCCCCAGGTCCTGGGAGTTGGTCGGCACCTCCTGGGCGTCCTTCGGGCGCACGGCGGGCCTGACGTCGTCGGCAAGCTCGGAGATCGATGGCGCGTCCTCGCTGGAAAGCGATGAGGGACTGGCGTCCGCTGGCGCGCCGCGCGAGCAGGCTGCCCTTGACGAGGCCGACGCGGATGTTCGGTACGGTCGAAGCCCAGACATGGTCGGACACATTTTGGCAGTTTTCTGCCTGTTGGGGCCCTCGCTGGGCCCCGTGGCGGTCGAAAGACGGCTCGGGATGAAACACTGGCCCTGCGGAAGGAGTCCGGAATTCTGGAGACTCGGGGATCCCGTATTGACAACCAAACAAATTAGACATTGCATATGAGGCTTTGCCCAATTTGGACAGGCTAGCTGTCGGCGGCGCCGCGGACTGTCAAATCGAGACAGACACAGATTGTTGCTGTTTATCGTCCAGCGCTTGACGGTCGTTCCCCGGGCCACCCCCCCAGGGTGGCGATACCGATCGTACGTTCGGGGGGGGGTGGACCCTTTTTTGGAGGCGGTTTGGAGGCCTCGGGGGGCGGTTTGGGAGCCTCTTTTGGGCCTTTTGGGGGCCTCTTGGGGGCCGCTTGGTGCCTCCTGGGCGCCTCTTGGGGCCTCCTGGGAGCCTTTTCGGGTGGAAGGCTTGGAGTTTCGGTTCGTGTTCCCTCTCTTGGGCGCCTTTGGGGCCGTCTTGGGGCCCTCTTGGGCCGTTTTGGGTGCTTCTTGGGCCGTCGACAGCCCTATTGGCTCGTTTTGGAGCCCCCTCTTGGGCCGTCGTGGAGCGGTCTTTGGGGCCTCGAGGGCTGTCTGGGAGCGTCGGGAAGCCGAAACGGCGAGAACACCAACATCCTTCAAAAACCGTTGGAACATCAATGATTTTGGCCTCTCGGGGCCCTCTTGGAGGCTTCCTGGAGCGTCTTCGAGGCCTCTTGGGCAATCTGGAGGCCATTTTGGACGTCTCCAAGCGATCGTTCGGCGACTCAGTGCCCTCTTGGACCGTCTTCGGTGCCTTTGGGGCCCTCATGGCCCGTCTTGGGGCCCTCTTGGGCCCGAAAGTTACGCGCCACCACTTGGCAAAGCCCGGGGGGCAAGCAGGAAGCCCCAGGGGCCACGCCATGATTCCCGCCAAATCTTGAAATTTTGGGCCCGAGGCCCTCAAAATCTTTTCAGGAGAAAGGATTGAGGCTTAGAGGATTAGGCAACGGACCTGATGACACGCCCACTCCGTGCCCAGAGGCACGGTGGCGGACTATGGCGATTGCAGAGCACCCCCGCCCCGACGTGTCCCACAGCGCCCGAGCGTTGCCGCTATAGGAAATAAACAACGATGTCAACGTCGCCTGCCGAACAGCGGCGGCTGTCGTTCTTGGACAGCACTTGCGTTCAGGCATCGCATCCATTTTTTCCTTACCCTTTCAGCCCGTTCGAATTCGCCACCGTGGGCCTGTCCCCGATCTATCGGCGACAAATCGCAGATCCCAGGTCGGTGTTTCGACCCCGTGGCCCTTCCCTTCCACTGTCGTTGCCCCTCAACCATGGGCCGTTCACCCCTTCCAGCGATCGTCGCCCGTCAGTTCTATGCAGGGCTCGTTGTCGGCCCCGCCGCGGGCTATGCCCAATTGCGGCAGCAATATCCCCTACCAAACAGCGGCCGCAGTTCGTTCTGGGACAGCACTTGCTGGGTATCGCGCCAACTTGTGACGCCAGAAACCAGGATAGCGACGCAGTCCAAAGCGCGTGAAACGCCTGTGGGAGACGCTTGCAAGGACGATTGAAAGGATGCCTGGGGAGCTTGCACGCTCGAGAAATGAGCTTCGCAGGAGCTTCCAAGGAGCTTCGAAGGAGCTGCGGAAAGGCTTCCGGCACGCGTAGTGGGGACGAGTAGTAAAACGCTTTTGGGACACTCTGCAACTTCACAAGAGGCGCTGCGAGGTGTCCTGCCCAGCGCCTGAAAGAGCCCCAGGACCACCCTACGCTGCCGTCTTCTAACCTGGAACCCTCGCAGCTTTCTGAGAGCTATCTGGGAACTTTGTCCCGCATGCCCGTTTCGGGCGTTCTCAGAGGTGGCCGCGGCCTCCGAGTGCGCGCCGCTCGTCGGGTGGTGCCCCCGCGGCTCCATGGAGCTGGACGCCGTGGTCTCGCAGGATCGGCGGTCGACGCTCGATGCGCGCGCCTGCTGGTGCTGCCTCCTCCCGGGGATAAGTATCCTGGCGCCCCGCCGCTAGCAGCCGCAGGGGCACGCGACCCAAACAAATCGGTGACCGAACACGTGCCCGAAACTGCGACAGAACATTTAGTGCGACTGAGATTGCGACTGGCATTGGAAGTCGTTCTGGTTTCGAACCCAGAGTTTCTGTGTTGCTCTGGCGCGTTCGGAATAACTCGGGCGCCGTTTTTTTGTCAAACTTGTACTGATTTGGGGGCGCCGCTTCGGTCATGACATCCCCTGATAAGAACACGAGGCTGCGTGATTGATACGTACTGCAGACGTTCCCAAGTTCTCGTCGCTTCCCAGGAGTTTCCATCCTCGGGATGCTGTCCAGCAGTTGCGCCTCGCCCGGAGCGTCTCAAGGGTGCACGGATCCCCCCCACAGCCGCCCGGGACCCGTGTTACCCTATGGTTTTTTTTGTGCCCGTTCGTCGTCTGAGCCGGTTCGGCCGCCGAGCTCAGATCGAGCCCGTCTGGCGGCCGAGTGGGCTCAGTTCCCACGACCTTGTCGGGACTGAGCTCATTCGGCCACCCATTCAGCGGCCGAGCGGGCTCATTCGCCGAGCGGGGGGCTCAGAAGGGAACCCTTTAGCCTTTGGGGCAGGGTACAGATAGAAACGAGTTGGCCTCCAAAGGCAGTTTTTTGTTCCGTGCCCTTACTTTGTCTCTTCGGAGCTCTGGCATTAGCACGGCGATGGTTAAATCTCAGCATCGTCAGACGCATCCCCAACAGGCCAAGGCTCCGTAGCGCCACCAGCCAACTTCTCGAGGCGGGAACGAATGCCGCGGAACCCGACGGGACGGCAGCTATCCCCACGTGGGGGGCAATCAAGTCATCCGTTGGGACTGAGGCTTTCCAAGTGGGGACAGGATCAACGATGTTGAACAACAACTAGGTCATCCCCAGGGGCACGAAGCTAATCCGTTTCGCGCGTCGCTGCCTCGGCCGGAGTGTTGCCCCTCTACAAGGTGGTCTATCGAGGGCGCGAAGAACACAACGCGTCGCGCACCGTAGAGCCCGATGCGCGAAGTTAGGTTAGGTTGCAAAGCCTGGGAGATTGAATTCATCATGTGTGCTGGTATATCCGTGAACCGTTTCCATTCATCTTAGTTGCGTTACATCGCCCATGTACGCGCGCTCCAGCTGAATCGGTCTTAGCCCAGAGCTTGAGCTAGCGTAAACCAGCTTTAGAGCATCTCAGTCGGCCTCAATAGCCTATGGTGGTTCCTACGAGGACCTTATCGGAGCTGCCTCCTGAATTATTCAGGTCAGCGGTCAGCGGTCCGATCGAGCAGAGCTCGGCCACCCTAAGGCGAAGCACTGTTTCAGCTCGAACAGGTGTTCCAACAACATACGCGCTCGGGGTAATTACGTTTGTGCCCTCGGGACAGAAGTCAGCGGGGGAAGTATAGGTATATGATGTTTGCCGCCGCTCGAGGCACCCGTTCCAAGGTTGGTGGGACATTTCGATCCCTGTACGATAGCAGGCAGGTGTATAGGTTTTCCAGCCACCTTGGGACAGGCGCCCCCGATGGCGCAACAGTTTTATTGCGTACCCTTCTTCGCCCGCGAAGGCAGGAAATGGGAGGAGTAGGCATACCGCGTCAGATATCTTTCCACCTGGGTGACTTCTGTCGACGACTTGCAGGAAGCGACGGTGGTAATCTTCCTTTCCTCCCCCCTCGCTTCCCCTTCCTCCCTCTCGTCCTCCTGCGCCCTGTGTGATCGTTGGGAACTCTCGGACATGGAGGTGCTACGCGTTGGCGCATCGCTGAGTCGAGCAGGGAATGTCGCGCTCAGAGAAAACGACCTGCCGGATGCGACAGGGCTACTCTTCCTCCTCCATCGCCGCCCCCCTTCCCTCTCGCGCCCCCCCGCGCCCCGTGCCCCGTGCGCGCGATCGCTGGCCATTCTCTCGACATTCTCGGCCATGGATGTGCTACCTCAGCGTTGCTCGGACGTGCACATTTCTTCTCATCGAGGTCAGCGCCAGAAAATGTAGACCATCCTGGGTCATCCTGGGCCATCTGGAGAAACAAAAAAACAACAATGCAAGGGGAACGGACGTCCGAACGATGGCAAGCTACAGTAAACACGGATAGTAAGGATGAGCGATTCTGCAAGGGGCTCCTTTGCACCCTCCACCTTCGGCCCATCTTTGGCCACTTTCGCTGGCCGCGCCCGGCTCCAAAAGCGTCGGCATCGCCTTCCAAGGCCCTTGCACCATTACCGTGCGTTCCTATCACTCGCGCTGACTGTGCCTGTTGCTGCATCGCTGAGTCAAGGGCTCCCACGAGGGCGCGAAGTTATTCACGCTTCGCGGTCCTCGTTCCTTCTCCCCCTCCTCCTCGTCCCGTTTTCTCTCTCCGGGGGGGCCGCGCGAGAGCGCGAAGTTATTCGCGCTTCGCGGAGCGCGAAGCGCGAAGTTGGGAGCTCTGGCGGAGGCGAGCAGGGACTGCAGCGCCCAGCACAAAGACAGCCTGCAGGAGGCGGCGGTGCGCGCGAGGGCGGCGGCCTCGGCCTGCAGCAGCGGCGCCTCCACGCCCGGGCGCCGGGGCCCCTGCGCCGGGGGCGCCTCGCTGCCAGACGTCGCCATGAGCCTCGAGAGCTTCCTGGAGGAGGCGGTTCGGGGGAAGGCAGGCCCAGGTCGGGGAGCGCATACATTACCAGTGGCGGGCTGTTTTTCAGTCCCAGGATTTTTTGAGCGTCGGGGACGACGTCGGGGTGTTGTGGTGTATACTCGTTTTCCCGCTTTCCCCTGGAACCAACAAAAAATGTATACAGCAGGATGCCGTATACACCATAATCCGTGTTCTTGTGCGGATGTCAGTGCGGGACCAGAAACATGCATCGGTGTATAAAGTTTGGCTCCTTACCGAGGACCGACCACAACGCTGTTTAGCTTGGTTTGGGCTTTTGGTTCGTTGTTCGCATCGTTCTTCGTTGTGGTTTCGCTCCGTTTTTGGCTTTCCTGTGAAGCGCCCCGTTTCGCTGTTGAACCCCAGTTTCGTCTTGAGTGGTTGTTTTCAACGTGGGGCGTCGTTTCGATGTTCGTTATAAACGCCGTTTCGTTTCAAACATCGCTGAGGTTGGTCCTTGCCTTCAAATCTCTGAGCTGAAGAAGCGGGTCTGGTGCAGGTGGGTCGGCGGTGGAAGGTGCCATTGTTCGTTCATCGTATCGTATGGCGTGCAATCGCACGCACGCATCTATTGCAGGGGAGAGGCACGGACTGTTGCACGGGCTACAACCACTGCATGTGAGGGCCAGCACACAACTGCGTCCACGCGCAGCCAGTGCGTGCGGCGCGCAAGCTATTGCATTCGGGCACCAGCGATTCCAAGTACTATTGCGCCTGTCCCCGCGGGCCCATCTGCACAAGGCCCACTACTCTACCACCCCGGCTTAACGAATCTTGGACACTCCAATCCCCAGGGGTGGAATCCCCAGGGGGGGGGGACAGGGTACCGATACCGCTGCTCGTCCTGGAGGGCTGTCGTCAGCACGGCTGGATTCTCCTCGGAATGCTGGTCAAAACTCACCCCTGGATAGGGCCTTCTCAGAAGGCGGCCAGACTTCTCTGAAGCCCTCCAGCCTCCTGAGAAGTTTCTCGTGACGTCGGGGAAGGCGTAGACAATTTTTCAGAAGGATGCGGGACGTCCGAGCCTTTCTGAGGAGGCCCGCCCCTTCTGCCTTCCCTCCGGGCGCCGCCGAGTGAGTGTCCCCCTTGGGCCTTCCCCCCTCCGCCCTTTGCCCTCCTGCTGCTGCCTTTGCCTGCGGGGAGGGTGCGCCGCCGCCGGCCAGCATTCTGGCTCGCGAGGGGATAGGCAACATATGCGCGCGTGTTCCCTCGCCGCCGCCTGCGTCTGTCATCCTCGTCCGACGCGTTGCGTAAGGAATCGGTTTATCCGTTATTGTGAGCTTTGGCTTGGTTATCGTCGCCACAGGTGGATTCAACTCGGGCTTACTCTAAGGAACTTGGCCGCTTTCAACGGCGAGCCAGGGCCATAAAACAAATTTGGTCTACATTGGCCCGATGGCTGAAGTAACCCCAAACGTATGACATCAGCCGAAATATTGGTTCACGGTGCGCAATACGGATACCTCAGGTACATTGAAAGCTAACATTGGATCCATCATTTCCGACACAATTTTCGATGAGAATACGCGACAGGCAGTCCGAACGCAGCCAGCGGGGTACGGACAAGTCGTAGTTTTATACCACGCTGCGGGCAAAGGGGTGAGCACCATCCGGCATGGGCCCGTGAGAGGGCTCACGCAGGAAGGCAACCCTTGGCACATTCGGTAACAAGAGGGGCTACCCCACATCCCAGCGCCCCTCATGCGAGGGAGCGAGGCTGGAGGGCAACCTTCAGCGGTGCCCAGTAAATGGCGGCGTGGTCAACGTGCAGGAATGTCTGACTTCGGGTATGCGGGGCTAGGTTCAAATTCTGCGTGATAGAGCGGCTGAGGATCCGAAGGGAGGCTGCCGCCGACTTGGGCAGGACCAGTGACCTTGGCAACCCACGACGTCGGCTGGCTTCCCCGAGAGCCCTCGTCGCCGCGGCGGGATTCGTTTCGGAAGTTTTGATCAGAACGCGCGCACGGAGAGGATCGGAGGGTTGCGGCATCTGGGGAGGAGACGAGCATCAATGACGCGCTGCCTTTGGGAACCCATCGGCATGTCTACACCGCCGCTTTCGTCCGAAAGCGGGTGCTTCTCGACAGTGATGCGCTGATGGGTTCCCAACGGGGCGGCGTACCATGGGAATTCATTCCGCTCACAACGCATGTGTATTTTTTGCTGTTCTCCCAGAGGAGGTCCCGGCATTCCCATTCTCCAACGGCGCCAAGGACACCTGATCTCGCTCGGAGTGGCCTGGTCTCGCCCGGAGTGGTCCAGTCCAGTGCACGGCCGCCAGTGGTCACATCATATTTCTGGATGTTGTTGATGGTGCTCCGGCGGTTGTGCCCAGCATCCGTTTGCCTAGATTTCATTTGGTGTGTCCGTTCGTCTCCCCCCTCTGTTTTCCGCCTTCTTCTCCCAAAATAGCTTGCGCGGGAAAACAATCATCTCGTCGTGAAGGACTTGCGTCCTGAGGCAGACTGGTCCCAGACCCTAGGACTTTCCCCTTCGACCAACTCCCACGGTCTGGGCGGCTGGGGGGCCGTGAGGGGTCGAGAACTTCCAAACACCTCGAGGGCCTGGCTCCCTCGGGACCCGTTCCCAGACGCGCGACGATGTTATTGTTTCTGCCCGCGCCCCCAGGGGTCTCGACCACGTCCCCAGGCGCAGCTTCTCGTCCCAGCGTCGTGCCTGGTGACCCGAGGCCCGAAAACGGGCCCCGGAGCGTGTACCGGGGGCACCGAAGGGGAAACAGCTGCATAAACGTACATTGTCTGAGATCCGCGCAGAGTTCTTGGGTCTGCGCTGTGCCCCCCCCCCCTTCCTCTCTGGCGCGCGGAACGTGCCAGGAGCGACGCCGCAGGCGCCACCAGGCGGGCTCCAGCGTCGATCCGAGAAGTCCGCAGTTATGTCGTGTAAGCTATGCGGTGTGAGATTTGGAGGCGGAAACAATGGGGTTCAAGCTGTGTGGCGCAAGTTTTGCCGTGTAAGCCTTTCGGTGTGAAATGAAAGTGAAAGCCCAGTATGGGGTGTAATTTGTGTGGTGAAGACTATGCGGTGTAACCACTTTGACCGTCTTGAAGCTGTCCTCTCCACTGCTCGTGCAAACATCCCACCCTCCCACCCGCAACTTGGTCGCAAGACCTCGTAAGTCAAGACCGTGACGGTAGGCACCACATGGCACTTGGCCACGAAACCGACGCCGACGACGAAAGCCACCACGACGACGACGACGACGGCGGCGACGACGACGACGCCGACGTCGACCACGACGAAGACGACGACGACGCCGACGCCGACGACGACGACGAAGACGACGACGACGTCGCCAACGAAGGCGACGACGAGGGAGGAGGGAGGACGACGACGGCGACAACGACGACAACGACGACAACGACGAGGGAGGAGGGAGGACGGCGACGACGCGAACGCGAAGAAGGAGGAAGGACGGCGACGCCGACGACGACAACGACGAGGGAGGAGGGAAGACGACGACGACGACAACAACGACGACGATGACGGCGACGAAATTGGAATGACGACGACGAGACGCCGACGACGGACGACGACGACGACGAGGGAGGAGGAGGAATGACGACCACGGCGACAACGACGACGGAAACGACCACGATGCCAAAGAGGACGACGACGAACACGAGGACAGACAGAGGACGACGTAGGCGACGACGACGACGACGCGGGAGGAGGTAGGACAGTGACGACGACGACGACGACGACGCTGCAAGAGCGCGCGCGCACGCTTTTGTTGAACATCCGTGTTGTGAAACCTTGTGTGTTTGTAGGTTGTTTGGACACTCGATTTTCAAATCCTTCCGAAACCGATTGGTTTTGAATGATTGATGGCATATGCTCGCGACGGCGCGCGCGTCTGCACTTCGTCCCATTATTTGCAGAGGATTCTCGCGACGGCACACGCGCAATGGCGTTCGACAGATTTCGACATGCGCGCGCGCGAAGCCGATTTGGTAGCATGTTGTGAAAATCTTGAAAAATCTATGGTTTCCGTCCGATTTCGCAAGAGCTCGCGCGTAAGTTTTTTTAGTGCATCAGTGTTGCGAAACCCTGCGTGTTTGTATGTGTTTTGGGAACTCGATTGCGAAATCCTTCCGACACCGAAGGTTTTCGAAGGATTCCGGCATGCGCGCGACGACGCGCGCGTGCGCACTTCGTCCCATTTGTCGCAAAGGATTCGTGAACAAGTGCTCTGTTAGAACAAAATGTCACCGCATAGTGTTTTCTTACAAGGGAACCTCAGGGGGTCGATACCGACCCCCTGGGATAGTGTACGTTCATAGTTAGGATGGACATGTGGTCACAATCATACATGAATTACATACCCGAAAGGGGGGGCGATAACGCCGAGGGCGGGGCGATAACGCCGAGGGGGGGGTAGAGTCTATTCTCCTTTTAGAGAAGAGAGTTTATGTGGTATAATGTATGTGGCGAAAGCTATGGGGTGCAAGCTCAGAACACGGGGCCCCCACAGGCCTTCACGAGGCAGCACGGGCTGCAACGTGGCGCAACCTCGGGACCCCCCCCCCGCGCACGAGACGCCCACGAGGCGCCCGCGAAGCGGCACGGGCGGCAACGTGGCGCAACCTCGGGAAGCCCGCCCAGCTCACGGGGCGCCCGCGGGGCGGCACGGGCCCGCAGCGTGGCGAAAACCCATGGAACCCATCCAGCTCTTTGAGGAAATTAGGCTTCAGTCGGGCGTGTCCCTCTACAGGAGGAATATCCAAACAAAGTAAAAAGATAGTCTGGGGACGATGTTTCTTGCATATTTTTGGGTATGTTTGACTATCTGTTATTTGTTATCCCAAATCCGCCTGTAGGGGGACATGCCCGACCTCAATTTAGGCCAGAGCCACTGCGTGCAAAGCACTGCTTGGGTACAGTGGGGGCGCGCATCAAGAAACCATCTGCTTTCGTCAGGGTGCCCTGGGTTTCTTCGCTTCTCGCGTTGCGCGGTGACTTCCCGCAGCCGTTGAAGGGGCTGCTGCGTTCAGGGTGCTCCAGGTTCCCCCTCAGGTGCACCTCGCGCACGGGTTCTCAGGGTTGGGTTTCTTGCGAGGGTTTCTTGCGGCCGCGCCCGCACTGTACCACAGTCATTCGGATGTCTGGGTTCGGGACGGCCGCCCGCGAGGATCGGGCGTTTTCGCCCGTGCCGCTGGGCGAAGCTGGGCGAAGCCCCGGCGAGCTGCTCCGTCGTGCGAGTGCCCACGGCAGGGGCCGTCCGCACGGCGTGTACATAGCGCCCTTTTGGCCCTTGGGCGAGCGGAGGGGAGGCCTCCTTCCCCTCCTCCGTGGCCTTCCCCCACCCCCTCTCTCTCTCTCTCTCTTGTCGCCCATCATTCTCCCGTCGTCCGCCTTTCGTCGTCCTTGCTGCCGGGGTCTGCCTCCGTGTCGGAGGTGGATCGACCTCCTACCCTGACACGTCGATTAAGGAATTGGCCGTTTTCCGTTCGCGAGAGGGCGTCGCGGCCGTCATTTTTGCGGGTCCAGGTCCGTCGGTTTCGGTCCCAGGCCGTTTTCATTGAGGGGAGGTTTATTGAAGGGAGGTTTGTCCACCGCCGACGGGGGCCTTTCCCCCCCCCCCTCTCTCTCTCCTGTCGCCCGTCGTTCTCCCGTCGCCCGCCTTTCGTCGTCCTCTCTGCTGGGGTCTGCCTCCGCGTCCCCGTCGAGCACAAGTTTCTCGACCCTGTGCCTCGATCGAGGAGTCCTTAATCGATCGTTGTGGTGGGGACCGCCCATCTTGGCACCGATGTTGGCATAATGCCCACACGCGCCCCGCGTCCAGCGCTTCTGATGCGCAGTCGACCTGGGCATGTGCAGGTCGGCCGCCGCCGTCTCCTCCTCTTCCTCCTCTTCCTCCCTGTTCTCCTCGTCGTCCTCCACCTTGCCATCGCCCTTGTCCTCGTCTCGAAATAAAAGCTGCATGCACATACGCTCTCGGAGTTCCGTCAAGAATTCCTTGGGATCCGCGCTTGGCCCCCCTAGCGGCGCCTCCAGCGCCGCGCGCCAGGGAGGGTGGTTCAGCGCAGATCCGAGAAATCAGAGCAGACCTCCGAAAGGTTCGGTTATGAAGTTTTTGCTGCCCTATTTTTATTTGTCTCGTTCTCGGCCTCCCTGTCCTCTTCCTTTCCGTCGAGGCTCCGCGCCAGCTCATCCCCTGTCCACAAGAAAAGGGAGACTTCAGCGTTGCAGGGCCAATCTCGACCCGACCGGTCCGAGCTGGTGCCGATTTCGGCCGGCCCAATTCGACTTTGGTCTGACATTCTGAAGATCAGGTGCGGCCCGATGTTTGCGTGGCGCTTGTGCATCCTGGCGCAGCTGAGCTCATTCGATTTCTACTCTCCCGATGCAGCCAATTTCGACGCAAGTTCCGATCCGAATTGATTTTCCGATTCGGTAGTGGTTGATGTAGATCGAATGCAAAGCATACATTGCATGTGTGCAAACATTTGGAAGTCCGTGCGGATTTTTGGTGCGGCTCTGGACCCCAAGGCCTGCGATACACCCTGTAGTTGCGGATAAGAGTGAGGAGGCTGGCGCGGGATGTTTCCCTAGTTGGTCGCGAGGTTGGTCGCGGGGTACGTCGCGGGTGGGTTTCGCGGTGTGTCGCGAGGTGGGTGGCGGGTGGGTGGGTGGTGGGCGGGTCGCGGGCGAGAACGACGACAACAACAGACAATAACAAGCAGAATACGTACCATGGAGTATCCATTTTCAGCCACGCGCCCAGGGACAATGAATGCCCGTTCTGCCCCCCACTCTGATTTGTGTAATGGTCAACTCGAGCGCCCTCGAGAGGCAGTGCTTGTGTCGTTGTTTGGGGTTCTCGGTTCTCGTTGTCTTGCTGCTCCTTCTCCCTCTCGCGCAGCTCGTGGTGACTCTCTTCTGCGGGCTCGTGCAGTCGGGGGCTGCGTCTGCCTGGCCACCCCATTGGTGGTCTGTGCCCATGTTGAAATGCCAATGGTACTAGGACGAATTGGTGCCAAATTGTTTTTCAACATGGGCGCGCTCCAGGCAGGCATTAATATTTCCGCGAGAACTACAGAGAGCCTCCCATAACGTGGTTCCATGTAGACGCTCTCTTGCGGATATATACAAGCAGAATCTCTCGCATGGGGATTCCTAGATGTCGCTCTGTCCCGGTGGAGCCGCGGCACGCGGCAATGACGCCTATTGGTTGCGCAGTGACCAGCTGGTGAAAAAGCATCTTCATCCTCCACCTCCACCTGATCGCCAAACGGCCATCCGAGGAACTACCATATAGTGGAAATTAGTTGCGCAGTGTGTTCGGTGGCCTGGCTGTCTGCGTATGCTCCACAACTCGTTCGTGCAATTACTGTCCGTGTGCAGTTGGTTGCTTTATGGTCCGGTAGTGTGTGGGTGCTATGCGTTGCGCCAATGAGTTGTGCCATAGGTTGATGCAATTGAAAACACTGCATGTTAGCTAGCATGCAGGCCACATAGTGATCACTTGCAATCTATGCGGTGCAATCTACGTGGTGCAATCTAGGTGGTGCAGTATGTGTGGTGCAACGCAAAAGCTATTCAACTCAATGCAGATGTAATGCGATTGATATGCGATTGCGATGCGGCTGCCACCTGGTGCTTCCTAGGGCCTCCTGGAGCCTCTTGGGGTCGCCTGGGGCCTCCTGTGGCCTGCTGGGGCCTCCTGTGGCCTCCTGTAGCCTCCTGATGCCTCCTGGGACCACCTGCGGCCTCTGGGGCCCCCTCGAGCCTGCTGGAGGCTCCTGTGGCATCCTGGGGAGGATCCGTGCCCACGATCCTGGCCACCAAAATACAACAACACGCTCGAGACATCCTCAACATTTGTCCCCCCCTTGGGGGCGAACATCAGCGCCTCGCTCGAACCATCCTCAAAATGTGCTCCGAAAGCGGAGGATGTCGGGGCAGCAACCATGCAAACCACCGAGACATCCCCGCCATTTTGGCGCGAACGGAGGAGCGATATACCCCCTGGCGGCTCCCCTTTGGGGGTATTGAATCCCGCGCATCGCTCGAGACATCCTCAGACGTTGCTCTGTCATCATCATCATCATCAGCAGCAGCAACAACAACAGCATCATCATCACAATCAGCTTGTTCAGCGGGCGGTGGCTGCGTATCAGGTGCTTCAGGTATGTTTCAAGGTAGACTCTTGGGGATGGGAGGACAGGGGCGGGCTGCATCAACATCTAGCTACATTATACAGCACACACTATGACAGGATGGAGGCTGACGTACAACATGGACGTGTACCCTTTAGTGTGCGTGACGGGCGTTCTGCTCGCATTCGGGATCTTGCTGCTGCTTGGGCACCGTCACACAAGCGTATCGCACTACAGGCTATTACTGACCAGCATGGCACGTATCATCATGACCCACACACACATGTGCACGTACTCTGGCGACATGTTTGGGGTATGTCTCTGCACGCAAGCATGTTGCAGAAGAGCGGTTCCCGAAGTATCTAAAGCATGTCCAAGCATCTCCCAGTGAGATTCGATGGCAGGTCTCGTTCGCTGACTTTCAAGAGCTTCTCAGACTCTGCCGTGACTCGTCACTTGGCGGGATGGTCATCACAAGCAGCAGCATCAGCATCACCATCCTCATCACCACAACCACCGCCATCAGCATCACAACCCTCAGCATCAGCATCGTCATGGTACTGATCATCATCATCATCATCATCGTCATCATCATCATCATCATCATCATCATCATCATCGTCACCCGCATAATAACCATCGTCATAGCACAACGTACCACATCACACCATACTATACCATGCCATTCCTAACATACCAGGTCATACCATAACATACTAGTCCAAATCGTACCATACCACCACAACATACTATAACATTCCAGAACGTGGCATACTATGCCATAAGCGAGCGAGCCATAACATAGCATAACATATCATACCATACCATGACATACCACAACCGTTCACAACATAACATACCATGCCATATCATATCATAGCATACGAGTGTGACTCTTGGAGAAGGCGGAGGAGGAGGAGGAGGAGGGGGAGGGAGGCGAGCGAGTGGGCGGCTCCGCCTCGGCGCGGCCGGACTGAATATTCAGTGCGTGGGTCGCCCCGTATGTGCATCTCATAGTCATGCCGCGTCTCGCTGGAGAACTCTGTATGTGAGCACCTGGGTGTGATGGCGAGTCGGCGTGGACGACGGGAGCGACAACGACGACGGCGACAGCGCAGACTTTAGTGATTGCGGTGGGCATCTTCTAGGGGAGATCGGGGAGGCACGCGTGGAAGAGCGAGGGGCATTGGATCACCAACGGGGGAAGACAGAGCGAACCTGAGCATGAATGATCTGAGTGTGAGTGAGCCTTATTGTGAGTGAACTTGGGCATGGTTGAGTGCTATTGCCTGTGAGTCTACGTATGGGAGGGTCTGAGTACGAGTGGGTCTGTGGATTCGTAAATCTGAATATGAGCGAATATGAGTGAGAGTGGATCTGGGTTTGGGTAAGTCTGGGTGTAAGCGAATATGAGTATGACTACTCGTGTGAGTATAGCGAGTGCGAGTCTGAGTCGGAATGGGTCTAGGCACGAGTGAGTCTGGCGACGAGTGAATATGGGGGCGGGCGGGTCTGAGTTGGGGTGTTTCTGAATGTACGTGAGTCTGAGTGTGGGTGCGTCTGAGTATGGGTCCTGATGGGTACGAAACTGAACAGGATTGGGTCTGAGTATGAGCGAGTCTGGCTACGAGTAGGTCTGAGGGCGGGGGTGGGTCTAAGTGTGAGTGAGCCTGAACGTGCGCAAGTCTGGTTGTGAGTGAGGCGAGCATGGGTACGATGAATACGAGTCTGAGTATGGGTGAGTCTGAGAACGAGCGAGTTCGAGCACAACTGAGCCTGGGACATCCTCCCAATCTGGGCCACCACGGGTGCGAGAAGCAGCGCCTCGCTCGAGACATCCTCCAAACATGCTCCGAAAGCGGAGGCTGATGGGAACCAAAACAGGCACCCCGCTCGAGACACCCCTGCCATTTTGACGCGAACGGAGGAGTTATATACTCCCTGACGGCTCCCACTTGGGGCGAACACCAGCGCATCGCTCGGCACATCCTCAGAATTTGCTCTGGCAGCAGATGATGTTGGGAACCAACACAGGCACCCCGCTCGAGACATTCCCGCCATTTTGGCGCGAACGGAGGAGTGAGATACCCCTGGCGGCTCCCCTTTCGGGGTGCTGAAACCAGTGCTTCGTCCGAGGCATCCTCAGAATTTGCTCCGCCATCATCATCGTCATCAGCAGCAGCAGCAGCATCATCATCGTCATCACCATCATCAGCAGCATCGTCATCAGCAGCATCATCATCGTCATCGTCACCAGCATCATCATCACCACCGTCATACCACAACATGACACAACATGTCATACCATAACATACCATGCCATACCAAAACTTAGCAGGGCCTAGCCTACCATAACACATCACATCGTAACATACCATGCCATAGCACACCATACCACAACATACCATTTGGAGGAGAAAGTGGAGGCGGAGGAGGAGGAGCAGGGATGTGTGTGTGTGCGTGAGGGAATTAGCCCGGCCAAAGTAATTATTCACTGCGTGGAGCTCCCCAGATGTGCATCTATTAGCATGAACCTGTCCGCCGTGAGTGTCTAGGCGCAAGAGTTTGCGAATACAAACGGGCTTGAGTATTGAACTGTGAACGAGGTGGAGTGTGAATAAGTCTCATTCGTACAAGCTCGTCTCTGCGCATGAGCCTGGGGCCTCCTGGAACCGCCTGTTCCCTGGGGCCTCCTGGAGCCCATTAGGGCCTTCTGGGTCCTCGTGGGGTTTCCTGTGGCCTCCTGAGGCCTCCCGGAGCCTCCTGGGGCCTCCTGGGGTCTCCTCGAGCCTCCTGGAGCCTCCTGGGCCCCCCTGGGAAGGATTTGTGTCCCAGGAGAGTCCCAATCCATAGGAACAGAGGTGAACACGTCGGATTGGAGCCATCAGATAAGGGCAATCTATAGGAGCACACGGAAAACACCAATGACTCGTGCCCCAGGGGAGGCCCTAATTGTAGGAGCATGCGTCAAACATTTAGGACTGGATACACAGGATAATGACAATCTATAACAACAAGATATGAATTCTAGACGCTTCGCGTATCCCCCTGGACCCAGCCCCACAGGCAGCTCGGGTGCGGCGCCAGAGATCACCTCCCTGGCAGGGCCCCCGCCATCTGGCACGTGTTCTGGTGGCGACGACAGGCCAGACACTCCCATGGCGGCCGACACAGACAGGTGGCAGGGTACAGCGGACAACGACTCACGCATGGGCCACCATGACCCGCCCGACTACGACAACGGCGAAGGCGCGGAAGACGGGATCCCCCTTCACAAGATGGAGCCCGACTACGAAGAGGATGAGCCCGCCCGTCCTCCCACGCCTTCCGAGTCGGCCCAGGGGGATGATGACAATCGCTCAGGCGGCGATGACCCACAGCGAAGCCCGTCGGCGGGCAGCTCTGACACCAGCCGCGAGGATACCGCGACTTCAGTCGCAGAGGATACGCCCTACGCCGCTCGCAGGAGGGGTCCAGCCCGAGACCCCGCGAGACACGAGAGGACCAGCGACGGTGGCGGCTCGCGGTACGAGCGCTCTCCCGCGCCCACCCCGATGCCCCCTGAGCGGAGGCCCTATTACTCTCGCCACACTGGCTCTTCGGAGCAGGGCGCACTCAACCTGTTGTCCTGCCCTGATGGAGGCGGCCCAATGTACAAAGTCAGGCTGGGCACCGTCGAACTCGATCGTCCCGACGAGACACCAGCCAGTCGCATATCCCGGCTTCAGTCGCAGCTGGGAGCAGTCTTTTGCGCACTGTGGACAGCGAACACGCAGCGTACCCTGCTCCCTGGATGGAGGGCGCCCAAGTCCGACCCGAAACTACACATGCCCTCGGATATCACCAATTTCCTAGAGGCCTGGAAGAACTGCGGGTACGACGCCTACGAGATGAACAGGAGGTTGGGCTATGATATTGTTTGGAACAAGATACGAGCCAACTACCTGCGTCACTCCCAGACAGACGACAGGAGCAAAGGCGGCTATCGCCACACGGGCTGGCGCGACCGTGCGACAAGTTCTTGGGGCACCTGGAGCAGTTGGCATGGCGAGTGGCGCGACGGATGGCGTGAAGATCACTGGCAGACGGGTGGCAAACGCGGCGGAGGTTATCCTGATGATCGGGATGATCGAGAGGAGAAGAGA